GAAAGTTTGGAGAATGGCTCTGGCTGTGGTGTCTTATATATTAGAATGACAAATCAAGTTCCTGAGCCTGTTGACCAAATCAAAGCATCTTCAACCTTAAAAGGATGGCAGCTCCATTGTCAAGAGTTGTGCACTGCCATTGTTATGGGATAATCTGGCAGCATTTCCATTTTGAAGTACCTTCTAATGAACTATTCATTTGAAGATGACACAAAGCAGGGTGGAAAGGGGACCTGTGAGATGTTGCCATGTGATTTGGACAGTTCATGGGGAAATGCATGACAATTGCAGTATATAGTGGATAAATGCAAGGTTATCCACTTTGGCAGCAAAAATAGGAAGGCAGATTATTGTTTGAATGGTTGTAAATTTAGGGAGGGGAAGGTTCAATGAGACCTGGGTGCCCTTGTTCACCAGTGGCAGAAAGTAAGCATGCAGGTGCAGCCGGCAATAAAGAAGGTGAACTGCATGTTGACCTTCACAGCGAGATGATTTAAGTACAGGAACAAGGATGTCTAGCCGCAATTATACAGGGCATTGCTGAGACCACAGCTAGAATATCATGTGCAGTTTTGGACTCCTTATCTGAGGTAAGGATGTTCTACCTGTAGAGGGAATGCAGCAAAGGTTTACCAAATTGACTTCTTGGTTGGCAGGACTGACTATGAGGAGAGATGGAATTGGTTAGGATTATATTTACTGGAGTTCAGAAGAAGAAGGTGGGGGTAGTCTTACAGAAACTAATAAAATTTTAACAGGACAGAACTAGTTACATATTGGAAGGATGTTCCAGATAGGTGGGGAGTCCTGAACCAGGGTTCATAGTTTAGGGATAAGGGATAAACTTTTTAGGACCGAGGAGAAATTTCTTCATCCAGAGAGTGGTGAGCCTGTGGAATTCACAACCAAAGGAAGTGACTGAAGTCAAAGCATTATCTGTTTCCAAGAAGGAGGTGGATATAGCTCTTCTGGCTAAAAGGATCAAGGGATTATGGTGGAAGGCGGGTTTAGGGTATGAAGATCGAAATTCAGTCATGGTCACAATGAGAGCTGAAGCAGGCTTGATGGGCCCAACGGCCTACTCCTACTCCTATCTTCTATGTTAGGAAAATAAATAGTGAACCACAGCTGCAACCACCAATGAGAGTATTGCAGCTCCTGGGGTCTAGGTGTAGGAGGCTTTGGGAGCTCTCATTTGGAAAATGGCCTTGAGGCACCTGCTGAGCTTGGTTCTCTTGAGGGACCTATCTGCCACTCGAAAGAATCTGGCAGCATCACAATCTCCCCAGAAACAATTCACATTAGCTGCTCTAGTTTTGTAACCCTCTGCTGGTGATGATCCACCTCCGAGGAAACTGCCCGGAAGTGTGAACGCTTTGGTCTGCTGAACCCAAGCTTAAGTTCCATTCTTAAACCATCTCTGTGGAACTGTGAAGATTGTGCCCTGTAACCTTGATTATATACAGCAATTAAAAGAAAACAATAATGAGCACAAAGATGGAATTACAGATTAAGGCAATTCGTGAATCAAGTAGGGTTAAAAGGAAGTTCCTTATAAAATGAGTGTAACAGCAAGGGTGATGAAATTCTGCTTTGTGTTATCAAAAAGTCAGATGACACAGATTACAAGGTTTGCTTACTCCCTTAGGCATAACTTCTCTAAAAGTTCACTGTTTCATGTTCTGCCCTTCAGAAACGAAGACAGGCAAACAAGTCAGGGATTTCATCACAATATTTATCAGAGATGAATAAAGTTAGTGGTTCTTTCCCAATGTAAAAATACAACATTTGAGTTAGATAATTCACTCAATAGACCAGCTGACAGCTGATAAATCTCATTAAAGGCACTGCTAATTAAGTTGAGGAAAATCAATGCAAGTGGATTGAGGCATGAGGCAACATGTATAGAAGGTAAAGTTGTCATTGTCCTAGAAGAACATATGACTGGACTCTCATTTGAGAGAGAAGACTGATGGTGGTTTAACTTGAGGGTCACCTTGCCTCAAGCGAGGGGAGAGTTCAGAAAGAAAGTCCTCATGGTAACCTCAGTAGGAAGTGAACCCATGCTGCATCACTCAAACAAATCATCCAGCCAACTGAGCTAACTGACCCCCTATTTGTATCCCAGCTACGACGCTAAAAAAAAATTTCACTTGGAAAATTATGTCCATTTTAATATTCGCAGCCAAACAAAAAAAATTTGAATATTATCTGCAAAAGTTCTTGGTAAGACTGGTTGGGACTGATGGAATAGAGGTAAAATAGATATTTGCATTTATGAGGGAGACTAACACAAGAGGTCATAAATATAAGATAATCACCAATAAATCCAATAGGAAATTCAGAACATCCTTCTTTAGAAGAACACAAGATGATTTGACTCAGACAAAATTCTTCCAGGAACTGACAGGATAGTTTCGGGAAGGACATTTCCTCTAGCCTGGTGTGGGGGCTTGTTGGTTGCAGTCTAGAACTATGTGCACTGTCTCAGAATAAAAGGGGCAAGCCATTCAGATTTGAGATGAGGAGACATTTCTTCATTCAGAGGGTGGTGAACCTTTGATATCCTCTGTCACAGAGGTGTCTGAGGACTCAGTTGTTGAGTTATGTTCAAAACTGAAGTAAAAAAATGTTTACATAAGATAAGCAAAGGAACACAAGGGTATTTCAGGAATAAGATGTGCCATGACCTCACTGAATGGATTGAATGTCCCACTCCTGTTCCTATTTCTTATGTCCTTTACCACAATTATAAAAACATGGAACTCACTACAAGGAACAGATGAGACAAATAGCAGAGATGCATTTAAGGAGAATGTAGGTGAGCACATAAGACAAGGTAAGAATAGAAGGACATGCTGCCTGGCAAGATAAAGTGGGATGACGGGACCTTTCAGAGCAGCATTCATGTTGGTAATGATCACTGGGCAGAATGGCCTGTTTCTGAGTGGTTTGGGAAGGAGTAGCTCCATGGGGGCTTGTAAGAAGGAGAAGGCTGTAAAGAGATTGAATGAGGTGAGATGGTGGAGGAGAAAAGATGGAGGCTATAATGGTGGGGAGAAGGATGTTGCGAGGGAAGAGAACACTAAGAATCAGGACAGGATGTACACACTTAATGGTAAGGTCCTGGGGAATGTTGCTGATCAGAGAGATTTTGGAGTGCAGCTTCATAGCTCCTTGAAAGTGGAGTTGCAGGTGAAGTTGCAGTGAAGATGGTGTTTGGTATGCTTGTCTTTATTGGTCAGTGCATTGAGTATAGGAGTTGGGAGGTCATATTGCAGCTGCACAGGACATTGGTTAGGCCACTTTTGGAACACTGCGTGCAATTCTGGTCTCCCTTCTACAGGAAGGATGTTGTGAAACTTGAAAGAGTTCAGAAAAGATTTACAATGATGTCGTTACAAGGGTTGGAGGGTTTGAGCTATAGCGAGAGACTAAATGGGGGGGGGGTCTATTTTCCCTGGAGTGTTGGAGGCTGAGGGGTGACCTCATAGAGGTTTATAAAATCATGAAGGGCATGAACAGGGTGAATAGCTAAGGTCTTCTCCTCAGGATGGGGGAGTCCATAACTAGAAAGCACAGATTTAAGGTGAGAGGGGAAAGATATACAAAGGACATAAGGGGCAATGTTTACACACAGAGGGTGGTGCGTATATGGAATGAGTTGCCAGGGGAAATGCTGGAGGCTGGTACAATTACAACATTTAAAAGGCATCTGGCTGGGTATATAAATAGGAAGGGTTGAGAGGGATATGGGCCAAATGCTGGCAGATGGGACTAGATTATTTTAGGATGTCTGAGAGGCATGGACAAATTGGACTGAAGGGTCTGTTTCTATGCTGTACAGCTCTATGACTCCAATACTGAACTAACTGGGATCCAGGAAAACTTGAAATCACTGAGATCATCAATTCCTTACAAATGAATGTAGGCCCTATAGGTTATGGCTGCATTTGTTCAGTTGCAAACAGCTGTGGGTAATGTGGTGGATAATCTTATAATGAATGCTTCAAATGGCCCAAATTTAATTTCATACATTGATTGGCAAAAAGCAGAAGTGATAGGAGGAAAAAAGACTTTACATGATGTGTGGTTTGGATTTGGAATCTTGATATTGTGATGGGTACAGATCCACACTAGTTGTCAAAAGAAAATTGCAAAAATACTTGAAGAAGAAAAAGAGAAAGAACAGGTGGTAGTGGTGATGCTTATTTGGGTGGGTGGGGGTGGAGTGGGGTTGGGGGATTGGTTTGGCGCTAGACAAGACAGACTGGATTTTTCCGTAAGAGAATTGTTGCAGACTCAATGACCGAGTTGACCTCCTTCTATGCTGCACTCTTCCATTCTACAAGAGCCAAAGCATACGTAAAAGGTACCTGACAGAAGCTGTAATGGTTACAAGGAGGGGTAGGACAAGGGACTCAGAAACAGGAGAAACATCAGGACTCATGTTTTGGGATGGTGCATGCAATTGGTACTAGAGTGTCCAATGAATAGGGATACTGTAGTAGCAAATTAATGTAATTGGTTGCAATATGGATTATAATTTTAACCCCAAGTGAGAAGTTATTCAATATGAAAGAACAAATTAGTCGATCAGACACATTTATTGTTCATACAACTAACTGGAATGCACTATTTTGAACTGTAGATTAAACACAAAATAGGGTTATGTCACAAAGCGGTACGATATTCGAGGACCTCAGTTAATTTCACTGAGGCAGCAAAACCTATTCAGCTTACAATTATCCAAATCTTGAGTTTCACGCAGAATTTAAAAAAAAAAAAAGTTCTGTTTTTAATCTTTTGAAGTCTTGTATTTTTTATCACCAAGGCCTTTGTCACTAATTCAGATATTTTGTTCTGATCTTTATGGTTATTAGGTTTTTTGATGAAGCTCATGACTTTCATTAAACCAAAATATAATATACAATCCAAAAAGCACGAAAGGAAACAAAATCAGCATGTTAGATTTATACAATCATTGTGCATAGACTTACATGTTTTTCATCAATAGATTCAGCTGCTTTTGTGATTCCATCGAGACACTTTCCAATGATGGGTATGACTTGTCTGTCAACCTCTGAAAAGGTCTTCATTGATTCACCAATTTTGACTATTCGTCTTTCATCCAGGTCTTGAATTTTCTGAAAGCAACAAGTTTATTGTTGAATTTTTGATATTTAAGGCATGGGAAACTAAAACTCCATGCAGCGTCCCAAGGAAGAGTCAGAGTATTTGTGTGCTTTGTCATTGCTTGGTTGTCTAGTTCTGTTCTCTGATCAGCAGATATTGTATCTTGAATTATACCAAAATCCTCATCAGAAATTTGATCTAACTGTAATCTGATTCAATAATTTAAAAACCTAGAAGGCAAACCAGCGCTACTGTAATTTTACAAAAATATACAAGTGCTAAAGATCATGACAAATATTCTATTATCCATCTGCTGTAATTACAGTCAGCAGTTTTCTCTTGACAATCTACATTAATTGTGTATCGAAATTTGAATGGGATTTTGAAGGAAAGCATCAGGTAGCTGTGATGCAATGATCTAACTACTGAAGCCATTAGTAACAGAAGATTTGTCACTTAAACTAACACTGACTCCAATCCCAGGTTTCCTCGCCCCAAGGATGAAAGAGGTAACTGTTTTGGCTTGGATTTTCATCATGATAGGGTGCCTTGGTAAATCTAGCAGGCCAACTGCAAACTAGAAGTCTTGCCCTAACCAAGGCGCTTTCCTCTTTCGTGGTGTCAGGAATTATGCAGCTCAGATTTTGCACAAGCGCATTTCATGAAGGCAGCCAGCCATTTACATCAGCAGCTGCCTCCTCTCAACTTGGATTTTAGCAGTAGAAGAGTATGAATCCTGAATCGTGCAGAGTAGACCTGTTAACAATATATTCATTTGGATGAAGAAAGCAAATGTACTACAGCCAAGTTTTTGCATGACACAGAAAAGGTGGAAAGTAAGTGGTGAGGATGACAAAAGGTTTGCAGAGGAAAGAGGCAGATTAAGTGATTGGGGAAAAAACTTGGCAAGTGGAATAATATGGGAAAATGTGAGATTATGCATTTTACAGGAAAAATAGAGGAGCTGAATATTATTTAAATGGAGAAAGACTGCAGAAAAGTTACACCAAGGAGATTTTGGAGTCCTTTTGCATAAAAAGCTAGCATAAAGTTTAGCAAGTAATAGGGAAGGCAAATGTATTGTTGGCCTTTATTTCAAAGTGAACGGAATATAAAAATAAGGAGGCTTTTCTAAATCTATACAAGGCCACAGGTGGAATACTGTGAACAGTTTTGGGTCCCTTATCTGAGGAAAGATATATTCGAGGCAGCCCAGAGGCAGTTCACTTGGTTGGTATGAATAGAGGGACTATTTTACGAGAAGTTAAATAGGTGGGCCTGTACTTTTTGGAATTTAGAAGAATGAGAGGCAGTCTTACTGAAACATGCAAGATTCTTCAGGGAATTGACAGGGTAGATGTGGAAAGGTTGTCTATCCTTGTGGGAGCGTCCAAGACCACTGGGCATAATTTCAGAATAAGGGGTCGCATATTTAAGACAGATATGAGGATCAATTTCTTCTCACAGACGGTAACAAATCTGTGGAATGTTTGCCCATTGAGGGCTTTCAAGGCTGGGTCATTGAGATATAAAATTTGTCTGAAAATAAAGGGTTATGAGCAAAAGGTGGAAAAGTGGAGTTTGCAAATGATCCTGCAACACCTATGGAGGAGGAATTTGGAATTGTTAAAATGTCAGAATAATTGTGTACAAAAAGTGCACAGCTCATTGAAACCATCAATAAAACTATCAAAGTCTGCTATCAAGATTGTCAAAAGCATCTGTCAAGGGGATCTGTCAAAAGAGCCAAGTTAAAATTCCTGACCTTTAAAAATCGAAAACATTACTGGAGTGTTAAAACAAAAACTGCTTACAACTTCATACTATCTCATGGTTTTCATTACCAAATTAGTGCAGCTCAGTTTTGCAAGTAACCATTATTACTGCAATCTGCTTGCCATTTCAAAGTTAGTTTGGTTCTTTGAAGCAGGCTTAAAAATTCCATTACTGTTGTAAGAATGAATTATGCACTTGAATGAAACATTTGTTATTTGAAGGCATTATGTATTTGAAGGAATGTTAATATACAAAATAGTTTTTTTTTAAATGAGGAGTATCTTATTCAGGAATTCTGCATCAGATTCTTTGAGCTTTATTTAATAGAATATTATCTCATTTTTTGAACGGGTCCAGAGTTTTGCCCATGAAGGATACTAGGCGAGTTGGCATAACAGATGCAAAGGCAAAGGGTGTGGGTAGAAGGCATGAATTGGCACTAAGTTGGCTTTTGAACTACAAAGGGCCTTGGGGTGGGTACAGGGTAATAGATAGGCATGAAAGTTGTGTAGGGTTATGACAGCCTTGCAGGGTATATGCCAGCCTTGAGGGGTCATGGGAATCTCGACTCGTCTGCCCTAATTTTTAATATACCCACTCCCTGGACTGTAAACCTGAGCTTCAGGCAGACACAGTTAAGGTTGGATTTACAACGCCAGGATATCTCCCAATTCAGTTCAACAACTACACCGAATCCCCAACTCCCAGACAGAAATTCAGGTCTTGCAAATACATAGTTATTCAATGACATTGCTCTATAAAATTATGTACACAGATTTTCAAACTCATTTGCTCAAGTGCTCAATTAGGCAGTCCATGCTAGTTTTCAGGAAAATCTGGACAACATTTAGCTTGACTTGACAAGTGACAGATACCATACACAGTACACAAGTGCCAGGCAGTGACTGTTTCCAACAAGGGAAAATCTAAAAATCTCCTACTGACATTCAATGGCATGATCATCCTTGAATTATCCACTACCAAAAACCTAGAGTTTGACACTGACCAGACTGAACAGGCCATATAAATGCTGTGGCCACATGCACAGGTCAGAGGCTGGGAGTTTTACAGTAGGTAAATGACCTACTAATTTCTGACCAGCATCTACAAAGTGCAAGTCAGGAGATTGACGGAATGAGAGCAGCTCCATCAACTCTCGAGAAGCTTCCAGGACAAATCAACCCACTTGGCTTGCACCCCAGTGACAACCTCAAAAATTCACTACCTCAGTCACTGAAGAATAGCGACAGCAGTGAGTACCATCTCCAAAATGAACTGGAGCAACTTACCAAGCCTCTTTCAAAAGTAGCTCCTAAACCCATGACCTCTATTACCTGGAATAACAAGGGCAGCAGAAGCATGGGAGCAGGAACATATGCAGTTCCCCTCCAAGCTACATACCATCTTGATTTGGAACTAACTTGGTCACACAGTATAAGGATACTTTAGATCATTTTCATTTAAGACTGAGATGGAGAAATCTCTTCACCCAGAATAGTGAGCCCATGGAATTCGCTACCACAGAAAACGATCAAGGCCAAATTATCGTACAATTTCAAAAGGAGTTGCATATAGCACTTGGTGCTAAAGGGATCAAAGAATATGGTGGAAATGTGGTAACAGGCTAATGAGCTGGATGATCAGCCATGATCATCATGAATGTTGGAGCAGTTTCAGAAGGTCCAAATGACCAACTCCTGCTCCTATTTTCTATATTTCTACTTAAATTACTATTATTCACTGCTGTTGGGTTAAAACCCTGAAAATTCCTTTTCGACAACACTATAGGTATATCTAAACCACATGGATAGAAGGTGGTTCAGAGTGAAGTTCCCTACCTGCACTAGGGCAATTAGGGATGGGCAGCAAATGCATGCCTACATCCTGTGAATGAAAAAAAAGTGACAATGACCTTTGACATTTACAAGAATTGCACCTTTACAATAATAATAAAGCAACCAATTTCTAATTTACCTGGAATATGTTCGGTATGTTTGTGAAATAATGTTCATGCTGTTCCTTATTAAAGTTCTGCAGGACACTGGAATATTCATTCTTGCTATCTGATGCCATCTGATGTCGGGTATGGGCCTGTTGCCGAGCCTGTTCAGAAACACTCACAATCAATGGATTGATCAATAATGCTTTACCTGAAATCAATACCAACCATTTAGTCATTTTGATTAAAAATAGGGCGATTTCATTTCTCAGTGAATAATTATCAAATATATTTTGTACAAGCCAGAAAATGTAGGATGCAAGAAAGACAAACAAAAAGTCTGCATTCAGAAATGCAGGAGTGGTGGCAAACCTGAAATCAAATGTAGGACTGTAAATATAAATAAATTTCAGCTGTGTTTGTAGCCAATGCTACATGCACACAGAATAGCTCCAACTTTGGCTCAACGTTCATATATTTTTGATTACACCTCCCTGGAGTCTTTTTTGGATGTTTTCAGTTTTAGAGGTGGTAAAGTGTTTGCTGTTTGTGCAAGGTAATAACAGATTCTTAACTTTTGTTGCAAAGCTAAAAAAAAAAAGAGCAGGAAGTAAAAACAGTGAACCCCAATCAGCAATTATTTGTGATTATATTTTTATTGTTTGTGCAAGGGCAACGTTTTCCAGTTTCTTATTTGTTGAGCATCTGTGTTTCTGGAGGATAATCTGTCAAAAGTCAGTTTGCCTTGAAATCAATTAATGAGTTGAAACTACTGAGTTAAAAGCTTACATAGGCAGAAAACAGGCAATGGTGTGACATCACAGGTGGATGCACAGATGGATCATGGTGCCATATTGCATTAGGAATTTGCACTCCCTAAATTTACATAGGCATTTTATGAATAAATATCTGTGGATAAGGCAACATTCTACAGCGATAGGTCTTTCTGGTAATGTCTGTTAGCAATCTGAGAAAACCAATATATTCTGAAAACAATACGTTAACCAAAATGAGCTCAATTTATTATGCTGGAATTTAAACAACGGAAAAAGATCATGTTGTCACTTATTACAATTGAGGTTATTTTCTTAACAATTACCACAGGGAAGACAGATTGCATTGCAACTGGTACCTGTGCTGCACATTTTAGCAGAAATGCAGATTTTCAATCCCTTTGACTTGTTTATTTGTGAGTTCTGCAGATAAAAGGCCATTTTCATTCAGTGGATTTCTTTGATAGATACATTTAGCATAAGGTGTCAATGGTAAAACCTAGCTGTTTGGCCCCCTGTCCTCTGCTTGGCGAGCTGATCTAAGTGAGGCAGGCAGTGGGAGTATAATCATCAGTCTCAATGTTGTAGAGTAGAAAGGAGATTAAAAATGACAGTTGTAATTTACCATCTAATTATTTGGTGAATGTTGCTGGAAACTGCACGTGCATAAAACATGCAAAATAAGGATTGGTCTTGGTTGTGATACCCTACACAGTCCAATAACATGGCATCACTCAGAGTCTAAATTCACAGAAGATAGCTGGTTATTTACATTAAGGCGGCTCCTACTGTTCATGTAAACATATCTCAACAAAAGACACGATCAAAAGTTGAGGAACCAAAAGACACATCTGAAACGTTAATTGGCTATGGGAACTGATGTATTAAAAACTTCTCACTGTCAAGTAGAAATGGACAATAAATGCCAATCATGGTCACGTCCCAATAATATATAAAGACTACTATACATAGCACCAAAGCACAATAAAACTGTAATAAATACCGATGACTTGTGGAGAAAACTAATTTATTAATTACAAACCTCAAGCTTTTAATACACTTTCCTGCCAAGCCAAAGCAAACACAGAAATAAAGTTAAGGTATTCAAACCACATTAAAATATATATCCAATAGAAAAGCAACTTCACTGGACAGGACAGCTTTGTGGTAATATTACTGGACTAGCAACGCAGAAATCGGGACTAATGATCTAAAAAGGCATTAGGTTAAGTCTGACCATGGCAGCTGAGAAGTTCAATTCAGGCAGTTCAATGAATCTGGAATAAAAAGTCTCTTAATTATAAGCACAAATCTACTGGACGAATAAAAAGAAGATTGGGTCATTTGGGTTCTTTAGGAAGAAAATCCACCTTCCTCACTCAGTCAGGCCTGTTTCCGACTCCAGGTCAAATATGGGTGACAAAACCTCCGGGAGCTTACCACTTAATGCCTTGCTCCAACTAATTAATCATCACCCCATAATATTGCAAACCAATCCAAAGCAGAGTAGCAAGGGCAAAGAACAAATTTAGGGTTGGGATTTCAATGCCACTTGTAAACACTGGCTTAGTATTACTGAGATAGTAGGAACTGCAGATACTGGAGAATCTGAGATAACAAGGTGTAGAGCTGGATGAACACAGCAGGCCAAGCAGCATCAGAGGAGCAGGAAAGCTGACGTTTCGGGCCTAGGCCCTTCTTCAGACCCGGGCCAGTCAACTTGTGTCTCAAAACATTACAGCCTTGGTTCAAACATGGACAAAAGAGCTGAATTCCAGACGTAAGGTGAATGTGACAACCCTTGACATCAAGGAGCCCTAGCAAAACTGAAACCAACGGGTAATGGAGGAAACTCAACTGGACACATCACACAAATACATTGGCTAGAAGAGCAGGTCAGAGGCTAGGATTACGGCAGCAAGTAACTCACCTCCTGACTCCTCAAAGCCTGTCAACCATCTATAAGGCAAAAGTCAGGAGTGTGATGGAATACTCCCTACTTGCCTAGATGAGTGCAGCTCCAACAACACTCAAGAAGCTTGACACCATCTAGGACAAAGCAGCCCGCTTGATTGGCACTACATCCGCAAGCATCCATGCCCCCGCCCCCCGACATCACTGATGCTCAGTAGCAGCAGTGAGTACTATCTACAAGATGCACTGCAGAAATTCACCAAAGATCCTCAAACAGCACCTTCCAACCCCACGACCAATTCCATCTTGGAGGACAAGGGCAGCAGACATATGGGAACACCACCACCTTCAAGTTCCCCTCTTAGCCACTCACCATCCTGACTTGGAAATATATTGCCATTCCTTCACTATCGCCAGGTCAAAATCCTGGAATTCCCTTCCTAATGGCATTGTGGGTCAACCCACAGCAGGTGGACTGCAACGATTCAAGAAAGCAGTTCATCACCACCTTCTCAAGGGCAACTAGGGATGGGCAAGAAATGTTGGCTAGCTAGCGACACCCACATCCCACAAATGAATTTAAAAAAAGCTGCTGCTCACAGTCCAAATGTTCTATTCAGTTCACAGTACACAGCTTCAAACCAAAAATTATTTTAAAATTGCAAATAAAATAATGAAAAATTTGCGAGGGTTCCAACACTCCACAAAGCATGTCCCACCGCTTCTACAAGGTAGCAATGTGATGAAATACTCTCCAATTGCCTAGATGAGTGCAGCTCCAACAACACTCAAGAAGTCTGACACCATCCAGGGCAAAGCAGCCCACTTGACTGGGTACTACATCCACAAAATGCACTGCAGAAATTCACCAAGCCTCCTTAAGCAGCATGGTCCAAACACACAACCACTACTGTTTAGAAGGACAAGAGGTGCAGGGAACACCATCAGCTGCAATTTCCCTTCTAAATCACTCACCACCCTGACCTGGAAGCATGTCATCATTCCTTCACTGCCGATGTACCAAAATTCGGGAACTCCCTCCCTAACAGCCTTACAAGTGTACATACACCAAATGAGCTGAAGCAGTTCAAGACGGCAGCTCATCATCATCTGCTCGAAGATAATTGAGGGTATATGCAATAAATACTAGTCCAGCCAAAGTCCAAATTCTTTAAATGAATTGGATCACATTCAGCTGCTTCAATAACCTCCACAATAAGGTCAATTATACAATTTCTGATACCATTTCCAATTCAAGTACTGAAGCAGTCCATGCACGAATGCAACAAAACCTGAACAACATTCAGGTTTGGACTGATAATAGCTAAGTAACATTGACACCACACATGTACTGGCCAATGACCAACTCTAACAAGACAGAAGTAACCACCTACTTGTGACATTCAACAGCATTTCTATTGCCAAATCTCCCACTATCAACAACCCGGGCTTATCAGTGAGCAGAAATGTAACTAATCCAGCCTTATAAATAATGTAATAAGTCAGCAGTCGGGACTTCTACAGTAAGCAATTCACTGCAACTCCCCAGAGTCTGTCCACCATCTAAAATGGCAGCAATTTGTACCATCTACAATGTATGCTTCAATAACACACAAGGCTCCTTAGACAGCATCCTGCAGACCCTCTACCTTTACCAATGGCGACAAATATATGAAATACCACCATCCAAATTACGATTAGGAGCTATTTGACTGTTGCTTCACCATCGCTGGATCAAAATCACGGAACACCTTCTTTCCTCTCTTTTTCAAATGGCGGTGAATGCTACTTCAACTGTTAACATTTAAAGGGGTAATCTGTTAAATTTAAATTTGAGATAGATAGACATTTTATTATACAGGGGTATCAAGGGATATGGGCCCAAGGCAGGCATGTGGAGTTAAGCTACAGATCAGCCAAGATCTTATTGAGTTTCAGGGCAGGTTCAAGGGGCTGAATGGTCCACTCCTGTTCCTATGTTCCTAAAGGCAATCCACAAGGGCTTCAGCAGTTTAAAGAGGCAAAACACAATCCACCACCACCTTCTCAAGGGCAATTAGGGATGTGAATGTTGGCCAAGGTAGGAAAGCTCATGTCCCAGGAATTGAAATAAAAGAAGTTATATCCTTTTACTGTATAAAACTAGAACAGTCCTCTACTTAAAGAGAAAAATATGAAAGAACCTCCCACATGCAAAATATCAGCCTGTTTATACATTCACAAGTAAAACATTTTAACATGGCAATACAATGCTTGACAAGTAAACAATCCACAATGAACAAAAAACAAAGCTTTCGAGACAACATGGCTGCTAGTCATAAACAGCCAATGATCAGGAAGTTCCACCATAAGTCAGTTTTAAAAGCCTGCTGAAGAATATGATTCTGTTTACCAGTACATGGAAGGAAAGAGCAATTTCTAATGCCCAACTAACGAAGATGGGAATGAAAATGTATATGTCTGAAGCAGATTAACTA